AAAACTACAGGACACTGAAAAAGGAGATAGAGGAAGACATAAACAGATGGAAGAACGTACCATGTTCATGGATTGGTAGAATCAACATCATCAAGATGTCCACACTACCCAAAGCAATCTATAGATTCAATGTACTCCCCATTAAAATGGCATATTTCACAGACCTAGAACAAACTTTCCAAAAATTCATCTGGAATAAAAAAAGACCTCGAATAGCTGCAGCAATCCTGAGAAAGAAGAACAAAGTAGGTGGGATCTCAATACCAGATATCAAGCTGTATTACAAAGCCACTGTTCTCAAAACTGCTTGGTACTGACACAAGAACAGACATATAGATCAATGGAATAGAATAGAGAACCCAGAAATCGACCCAAACCACTATGCTCAATTAATATTCGACAAAGGAGGCATGAACATACAATGGAGTCAAGACAGTCTCTTCAATAAATGGTGTTGGGAAAATTGGACAGATACATGCAAAAAAATGAAACTAGAAAACCAACTTACACCATACACAAAAATAAACTCAAAATGGATAAAGACTTAAACATAAAACGGGAAACCATAAAAATACTAGAGGAATCCACAGACAGAAAAATCTCAGACATATGCCAAAGCAATTTCTTCACCGATACTGCTCCTAGGGCAATGGAAACTAAAGAGAAAATAAACAAATGGGACTACATCCAAATAAAAAACTTTTGCACAGCAAAGGAAACCATCAACAAAACAACAAGAAAACCTCTATATTTTTATTCAACTTTGCTATGAGCCTAAAATTGCTCTAAAAATAAAGGTTATTAATTTTTAATTAATTCTTAAAGTATTATTATGTAAACTTAGTTGTCCTATGTATCTCATGGGTCTGTTGTGTGAAGGAAAGGGTCTGATTAATTTTAAAATACTTCAAATAAATAACTCTACTTTCATCTCCACCAAATTTAAACTTTTTCTTTCAGCTGTTTTATCTAGCAGAGCGTACAGTGCCTGTATCAACTCAGAAACCAAGAAGGAAAGTAGAGAACCATTCTTCATGCTAAAATAATTATTGTCCCCTATATCCAAATAATCACTATATTTTGTCTTTAAAATTTAGCTTGAACCCATTCTCTCCTCTTCCTTACCTCCAAAACCATTGCCTTGGGTACATACTAGAATCATCTGGGGAAACTTTTAAAGCTCTAATACCTAGACATCACCCCAGTTAAATTACAGCAAAAGTGGAAAATACAGGGTGATAACCACCTTTTTTCCCTCAACAATAAAGTTGAACTACCTTAGGTGTCATTTCAACATTATTTACCAGTTTTGCTTACATGTCAAGGAGGGCAACAGCCAATACTACTGGTGATTGAAGCTTTAATGAATTATTTTGATTGCTTATTTCAGAAAGGCTCTCTGTTTTACATTAAATCCTCCTCAATTATTGAAATGCTGATCTAAATTCTCTAATGCAGACTGTGGATTTGCTTTAAATTATCCGCACTGTTTTCTAATAGTATGAGTTTATCTGACAGAGAAATAGCTGCCTTGTCTCCATGTAATTATTTGAACCACACAAGTAAATTTGAAATTACTGTCTTATAGTTAAATTTTTAACTGAAAACCAGCTGTGAGAACACCCATTCTTTGTTATCAGTAGCATTTATTTTTTTAAAAATATTTAAAAGTTATTGTTGCTAGTGAGAAATATAGAGTCTGCCCCTTCCTCCCACATGGCCTTATCATCATTGTTGGTCTTGAGACCAGAAACACCAATCCCATTATGTCTTTTTTCCCTTTTAATATTTGCCACCAAAGTAGACTCCCAGGTCACCGCCAAATCCTTCCATTCTCCATAGAGCTCTCTATATCCTTTATCCTCTTCCCAACTCCTATGAGTCCTCATTTCTAAAACCTCCCCATTGAACCTTCTGAAAGT